GTCATCTTAGCTTGGAGATCAGCGTATCAAAACGTTTTGCGTCTTTTACAATCTTTACAAAAGAGAATCATTTAAATTATTTTTGACAACAAATTTAAACAGATAAAACTTCAAACAAAACCATTTAAAACTTCAGGCATATAATTTTAAATGTTTAGTCTGGGAATATAAGGCTCTACAGAACATGTAGTTGACTGGCTTGAGCAAAACTAGAAATAAAAGCGTCCAGTCTTTAAAACGTTATGTGAACAGTGGAAAATGCCGTTACGAGTACAAGGGCATCACATTATTTAATAAACTGACGCAGGAGCTGAAAGTTTTGGAGAATGTTAAAGGAAAAAGAGACAAAAAATTCTGATAGAATGGTGTAAAAGATTAGAAACAAGATAACTTAATTAAAAAACCATTGGTCGTACTTTATTTTCTTCGTAAATTTTGTTTGTTAAAAAGAAATAACTGCATTGTCTCCCTTTTAACTTCCTTTTGTTTGTTTCTCAATAAATTGTGTTTAGATCATAAATGTTTCTAAAATCGCGTTTGTGACTTTTATTTGCAATTATGATTTTATTGCAAGCTTCTGTAAGGTAGCACATATAAGTTGAACTCATTAATTTCTTTGTTTTTTGTGATTGAATAAAAAATTTTTTACGGTGATTCAACAAATGCTCCAAACGTAACACAGCGGAAATATTAGAAGATGCATTTTTAGTGAAAATGTAGGGACACAGTTTTTAGCCTTCACCTTTTTTTTCTGTGATAAGTACACTAAAATTCGTGAATGTATTCTACAAAACTTATAAATAGTTCACCTATCTGCAAAATTTTAAGTCATTAGGGGCAATGCTCCAAAAGTTATTACACCTCGGAAACGAGTTTTTAAAAAAGACATCTAAAACTAAGCACTTGTGTCACTTTTTCTCACTTCAATGTTATCTAATCAATAAATAAAAGTCATACAATGTAACTTATTTGATTTTTCATCTATATTAAGACGTATAGAATAAATCTTCACTTAAAGGGTGGGAAAAAATATTGATTTGTTCGAATACTGCAACCGGAACAGACAGTTTAAATGTTCAGAGATTTTCTCACATGCTGTAGACTTATTGGCATCTACAAGCAACTTAACAAAAAGATGTTCAGCTTTTATAATGTTAGCTGGCCATGCAGGTGATTATGCAATTATATTATACCTAATTAACTCGTTTATGTACAGAGCAACACCATAACCACTGAGTGGTGCGATCGTTTAGTAGTAAAGTGTAGTTTAATGCATCATAATAAATAGATTTATGGTATTTATTAAAAATTAATTACTTTCTACGTGTTCTCTCGAACGTGAGTAAAATTTGAATTTATTACACTTGTATTTATTAAAAGCAGAGTAAATTAATTTAGTCATAATTTGAGCAAAAATTTACCTAGTGCCAGAGATAAATTAAATTACTATATTTCAATCGCTACGGACTCAAGGTCCATAATAGCCAATACAGCACGTTCGTTAACAGTTAGTGAGTTGTAACTCTTATTAAGAATAAAAAAATTATACCTTGTTACAAGTTAAAACACATTATAAAATAAAATTTTAGTATAAATAATAGAAATAGAGAAAAAAGAAAAATAGTAAAGTTGATTTATAATTAATATACACAGAGCTCATCGTTTAAGTATATATTTGAGTTGAGATCATTAGTTATCTAAATCATAGATAAATTATTACAGATAACTACAGTTATATTTAGAGCTCATCTCTTAAGGACAGTTCTAAATAATAAGCTCTGACATTTACTAGAATCTGGTTCCATAAATTCAGTGCACCTACTCTAAAAGACACCGCAAAAAAATTAAACTGAGCCTAGGGTACACTTAGATCTAGATGACTCACTCTCGAAGTACTTTATTAGGTTGATTGGGAGACCAGCATTTCATATAGGAGCTAGCAGATTAAGAGAAAGAAAGAGATTTCGAGCAATTTTGCTGTTAGAACATGTTTTCTGGTTACAACTGAAAAATAATATTTCTGCGTATACGTCATTAGTCGAGTTCTTTCTCAGTATAGCATGCACTTATTGTATAAAATAGATCTTGAAAGACAAGATAGGAAGTGCCTAAGATTTAGAGGGTTTGCTAGCAAATGACTACCAGGAGAAAGAGAGCAAACTTGGTAAAAATAACACTAACATTCGTCATAACGGGACTAGAACCTTTGTAAATAACAATATTCATGCTTTAACATTTTTTTTTTTTTCAACTAGGTGAAAAAGTTCAAAAATAGTATAATCTCACGTCTGAAGAACGTACATACAATAAAGTAAGTTTTTCGACCCCGAAACGTCTGACTTTTGATCGGTAAAAACAAACGGCGTTTTACACTTCAGGGTTTTGTGGCTATTCTTTCAACCAACCTGGTGCTACCATAGAACCTTTTGCTACAACAGTAATCCAGGGATAACCACCCTGAGAAGCTTTGGCAGCCACATTGGCTGGAAATTTCATCAGCTTCCTCCACAGTAGTTCATTTCAAAGGCACACCCGTGGAGGGGATATTTTTCTGCCACTTCCCTGAACAACGATGAGCAATTAGTCACCAGGGGAATGGCCTGAAGACGAGATACTCTTTGATTTCCGTACGTAGAGATTCCAAAGGTAAGAGTCAAGTTACCTTCAACTGGCTCTCCATCATTGAGAATAACAATAAGAAATGACTGGAAGTATCACCACTGGCCCTTTTCAGGGCCATCATAAGTCTTGACGCTCACCAAATCACCGTCAATCTCATCGGTTCTTTTAGGATCATCCAACGTTTAATTACCTTGTAAAAAATGTATTTTTACAAGGACTTCAGATAACGATTCATCCACAAAAAAATATACAGAGCCATTAATTGGCTCAGCACTGATCATTCAATCAGGAATCACCAATTTTCTCTGAGGTCTGCGCTAGTAGATTATATAAGTGAAGTTAAGTCAAACTACTTTAATTAAACAATTTAAAGTTCTAAATTTAAGACTTTTTATTGAGTTAAAAAAAAATTGAACAGTGAACTAGTTTTCAAGCTGCAAGAGTAAAGAAAAATCAGCAATAAACATGTATGATTTTAGTTGAAAGAAAAATAATTTTTGCGTGACATAAAAAGAATATTGTTTTAAAAGGACTATTTAAAAGTTCAGTGACGAGATAGAGTTGGGTGTGATTAAATTGAAAAAAAAAACTTATTTCGTACACTAGACATAAAGTGATTTCTATATATTAAACAGAATTTGTGATTAAAAAGTTAACTCTTTTTTCTTTCTTCTCTGCTACCTGGATTTCTTTTAAAAAAAACTACAGTCCAGTAAATCGTAAAGACATCACATCCAAACAGTATGCTATTTAAAAGTTCTTATTTAATTTTTCTTTTGCAATGGGTACTGAACCAGCCCTTCAACATATAGGTAATTTTGATGACTAGGTGTCGGGTTTTGATCTTGTGAATTTTCCGGGAAAAATAAAGTTTTATTGGTAGCCAACGCTCTGTATTAACACTTTGAGTCAAAGAAATGTTGCAGTATTCATTGGCTTGTTTCTCCTATGCTTAATGCATGAAAGATAAAAAAGCCCTATCTGCTTACAACTCCAGTTTTTATGTGCTACAAACGCTTTCCACAAAAATGACTAACGAAAGCTTTTCTACTAAAAATTATGATCTAAAAATTAATCTAGTTTTTCCCAAAACTTTGTACTCAAGGCTTATACTTTAAGAAACTAGTTAGACTAAAATATAGTACAACATATTATGTACCAAGAGGAAAATTACAGCCTACTGTCATAAAAAAATCTGTACCTTAGTTCATTCTTGCATGGTTGCAGAATGTATTTTTTTCTAAAGTACATCACAAATAACACTGAATTTTGGTTTGATTATCGCCTCAAAATATTTGCTTGCCAAATCTTCTCTTCATTTGAAGGAAAACAGTGATATTGTTATTTATAATTAAAAATGTATTAATGTGAATCCATGGGTCAGGCATGTGGATTTTTTTTACTTCTTATTCAACTTTTCTTGTGTACTTAGTTTTGTAATACTCAAATAATACTTCCAAAATTTATAAGTTCACATAAAACATAAGAAATCATGATGATGCAACACATACATAAATTAAAACGAAAAATGTAAAACAAAAATTTATCTGCAGGTAGTCAATACAAGATGCTGATTTAGGCACTTGAAGTTGCATAGCCTGACACCTTTTTTACGCTCTTGATATGGCAGGTTAATCGAAGGCCTACGCACAGATGCTTCAGGTAGTGCAGGAAGTAACGATCTGTCGACGCACGTAGTATTACATTGACGTTATTACCGGCCTGGTGTTAAGCTTCATTCCCTGTACCTATCTTAACGCACATGTGTCACAGTTCATGGTGTGGCTCACTTCAGACTTTCTGGCAAGTGCATGTAGCTAGCTATAGCTATTGTAGAGCAGTGTATATGTAGGTGTTCTTATGTTGTACCGCCGTCCAACGATTCGTAGCATGCGCAAGCGCATGGGTGATAATTTGCACGTATTAGTTGTTGTAAAAAGTCTTGCTAAAGGGAGCAAAAAGTCTGATAGTGCTTGTTAACTAATCGCAAAAGCTTAGGCTTGTATAACGCGTTAGTTTTCAGTATGAGTTTGTAGCCTTACACTGTATAATTAAAAATAATGTTGATTATGAAAATCATGATGATGGTTAAGCCGTATGACGCCAACAATGATGACGAGGACGAGGTTGATGGTAATGTTGACGATAGTGATGACATCTTATGACTTAATACATCAAAAATAATATTACTTTCTAGGAAAAATGACAAAAAATAACTATTATTACGATTGTGATGACGATAAAAAAAAATTTTTTTTTATAGACTACGGTATTAGTTTTTATTTAGTAGATAAATACAATAACTCATGTAAGCAGTTATATTTTTTAGATAGCATTCTGAGTTTTATAAATAATGTAATTGTATTCGTTGATTGCAGAAATTTCGTATTTTATATCTCCATACCAAAAGTTACTGCAACTAACATGTCGTGTCTCCACACAACAGAAATTTTAAGTGATCGCTCTGGACCTGTTATTGAATGTGATTTTAGTAAGTTTTTTCTAACATTTTTTATTTTGTAAATGGTATACAATCACATCTATAGTCTTTTATAATACTACATTATCTATAATTATTTCCATTAAATTGTGAATAAATATTTTCTTTACTTTTGAAACAAAGTTATGACGTTTTAATTTAAATGCAATGACGTATTAAGTATAGACAGATATATGCATTTCGACACGTGTGTCTTGACACATGTTTCCCTTCTTACTGTGTATGATATCATAATCGTACGATTGATAATGTGATTGGCTTATAGAAGCCTATTTCAAACGTTCTTGATAAATTTATTTATGATTTGAAGTAATTACTGTTTTCAGCACAAAACAAAATAACCCAGTTTGCAAGGTATGAAGATTGTGAATAAGATGATGTTTGCGTAATACCCTAGAGTCTGTTTAAATCGTCTTAAGATATGGTACCAGTATAAGAAAAAACAGTCATACTCAACCACAGCGTGTGTTTCAATTTGCATCAAACAAAAATTAAATATAACTACCTTTTTTCATACCGTTGATCGCAAGTCTTTAAAAATTTATAACTTATACATTCTGAAATGAAATAACTATGAAATGTGAGAGTTAGTAGTCTTCATGCTGATCCTACTACCATGCCCAAGGTTCTTGTACGATTAAAAATGATATTTAAAGAACAGAACAAATTTCAAAGTAGATGTTGCTTAAAATACTATCGGCTTTCATTTAAGAAAAGAAAAAATACTTAATTTGTAATCTTAAAAATGCAAACAACTTAGGTAATCTTTATTCTGCAACAAGAAAACTAATTCAATCTAAAAGTGCTTTATATTACACGATTTTGAAAAAATTTTCAAAACGATGTTTATATTTATATTTGACAAAAATTATTGTTTTTTTGCTATAGTTAAAGTCTTATGCATTATTTTGACTTAAAATAAATTTTGGCAGTGTTTGACATCTTGCGGTGTATTTTTTTTTTCTGATAATTTCTTATGTTGCTCTGATTCACGTACAAAAAAAATTAAATTTCCTCTACCTTACGTAAGATATTAAAAGCGCTAAGGTTGGTTTCATGTTGTAATGGGTTATGATGGTTGGATTAAAAAACTTTATGCTACCATATAGATTAAAATAGTTATTTCGATTTCTAACGTTGAAACACGAAAGTTATTCAGTTACACAGTATAAAAAGAGTTATTTGGATATAATTGTACATACACAATATGTATGATGTACATACACAATATGTATGATGTATATAACAAAAAAAAATGTAAATGAGAATACACAATAAAATTCAGTTATTTTTACGTATAAAATAAGTTTTTTTAACATCACTATTTATATGGTCTGCTAGCACTTAATTAGTTTAAAGTTTAACTTTTTAACAGACGTATTGAAATTTTCTATTGACGTTTAGTATTTATTTTTTTATAATATTTCGTGTAGCAGGCAAAAGTTAAGCCAGAACAACCTGCAATGCTTTAAAAAAAAGAAAACTTGTTTAATGTGAAAAAGTTTCTACTTCAATAAAAAAATTTTGAAATATTTTCTTTTTTTCGATTATTTCTAACTTGGCTATTTTTTGCATAGTCTTCCTCACAATGGTTGGTATTTTTATGATAATACAGTCATTACCTTATTCTTGGTATTTTTTAAACCTGTCTTAAAAACCCTAATTATTTTCTCTTTGCGACTTTTTGCTGTAATTCTTTTTACTCAAACTATCTAGAGTTCTGCAGTCAATCAACTATTACTGCTAGTAAATTGTAAATAAGTAAAATAAAAAGCTATGCTGACTGTGATGATAAAAACTTATGCGTAGCCAACAAAAAATTTTCATTCCAGGTTAACTATATGGATCTAAAATGAATGAGTATTACGAATCCAAATCTGTTTTGAACGTCAGAATTTCTCAAATTTTTTGACATTCTGGCGTATTATATGCCAATAATAACAATATAACGATATATAGCGAGAGTGATTGTACTCTAGTGGAAAATTACAAAAAATGTAGATGAAATCATGAATGCATACGAGGTCTGTTGAAAAAATAAGGTGAATTTCCATTTTTTTTAAAAAATATTTATTCATTTATCAATTTTTATTTTGTCCCCTTCGAAAAAGTCCCCCTCAGATATAATACACTTGTGCCAGCATTTTTTCCGAACCTCGAAGCAGTTCTTATATGTACTTTCTGGTTTGACCTTGAGGTCTCTCAGCGATTCGGTTTGTATCGTCGCAAGATGCCGTCTTTACATGAACCTCTTTAATCTTGGTAACCGGAAAAAATCGTGGGGGCCTAAATGTGGTGAATGCGGTGGCTGAGGCATGATTAGGGTGTTGTTTTTGGGCAAAAAATTACGAACAAGCAATGACGAGTGAGCAGACGCATTATCGTGATGCAAAAGCCATGAATTATATTTCTACAATTCCAGATGTTTTTTTTTGTATTGCCTCTCTCAAGTGGCGCATAATTTCAAGATACTACTCCTTATTTACCGTACGACCATGAGGTAAGAACTCCTGATGCACTACGCCACGGTAATCGAAAAAAACAATTAGCAAAACCTTTACATTTGATCGTACTTGGCGTGATTTTTTTTGCCTTAACTCTTGGCCACTTGCATACATTTTTTGACTCAGTGTTCTCATTTTTTTTGATGAAAGAAATTCGTCAAGCACATCAAACACTCCTAACCTATTATGCTTCTCACAAATAAACTAAACATGCTATATAGCTTAAACTGTGAACATATGTTCGAGACGAGTGTACCAACACAAAAAAATAAAAAAAATCAAAGATCAATGGTTCACAGTCCGCGAAATTTAAAAATTCTTATTTCTTGAACGGTATTAGTTTTTATTTAGTAGATAAATACAATAACTCATGTAAGCAGTTATATTTTTTAGATAGCATTCTGAGTTTTATAAATAATGTAATTGTATTCGTTGATTGCAGAAATTTCGTATTTTATATCTCCATACCAAAAGTTACTGCAACTAACATGTCGTGTCTCCACACAACAGAAATTTTAAGTGATCGCTCTGGACCTGTTATTGAATGTGATTTTAGTAAGTTTTTTCTAACATTTTTTATTTTGTAAATGGTATACAATCACATCTATAGTCTTTTATAATACTACATTATCTATAATTATTTCCATTAAATTGTGAATAAATATTTTCTTTACTTTTGAAACAAAGTTATGACGTTTTAATTTAAATGCAATGACGTATTAAGTATAGACAGATATATGCATTTCGACACGTGTGTCTTGACACATGTTTCCCTTCTTACTGTGTATGATATCATAATCGTACGATTGATAATGTGATTGGCTTATAGAAGCCTATTTCAAACGTTCTTGATAAATTTATTTATGATTTGAAGTAATTACTGTTTTCAGCACAAAACAAAATAACCCAGTTTGCAAGGTATGAAGATTGTGAATAAGATGATGTTTGCGTAATACCCTAGAGTCTGTTTAAATCGTCTTAAGATATGGTACCAGTATAAGAAAAAACAGTCATACTCAACCACAGCGTGTGTTTCAATTTGCATCAAACAAAAATTAAATATAACTACCTTTTTTCATACCGTTGATCGCAAGTCTTTAAAAATTTATAACTTATACATTCTGAAATGAAATAACTATGAAATGTGAGAGTTAGTAGTCTTCATGCTGATCCTACTACCATGCCCAAGGTTCTTGTACGATTAAAAATGATATTTAAAGAACAGAACAAATTTCAAAGTAGATGTTGCTTAAAATACTATCGGCTTTCATTTAAGAAAAGAAAAAATACTTAATTTGTAATCTTAAAAATGCAAACAACTTAGGTAATCTTTATTCTGCAACAAGAAAACTAATTCAATCTAAAAGTGCTTTATATTACACGATTTTGAAAAAATTTTCAAAACGATGTTTATATTTATATTTGACAAAAATTATTGTTTTTTTGCTATAGTTAAAGTCTTATGCATTATTTTGACTTAAAATAAATTTTGGCAGTGTTTGACATCTTGCGGTGTATTTTTTTTTTCTGATAATTTCTTATGTTGCTCTGATTCACGTACAAAAAAAATTAAATTTCCTCTACCTTACGTAAGATATTAAAAGCGCTAAGGTTGGTTTCATGTTGTAATGGGTTATGATGGTTGGATTAAAAAACTTTATGCTACCATATAGATTAAAATAGTTATTTCGATTTCTAACGTTGAAACACGAAAGTTATTCAGTTACACAGTATAAAAAGAGTTATTTGGATATAATTGTACATACACAATATGTATGATGTACATACACAATATGTATGATGTATATAACAAAAAAAAATGTAAATGAGAATACACAATAAAATTCAGTTATTTTTACGTATAAAATAAGTTTTTTTAACATCACTATTTATATGGTCTGCTAGCACTTAATTAGTTTAAAGTTTAACTTTTTAACAGACGTATTGAAATTTTCTATTGACGTTTAGTATTTATTTTTTTATAATATTTCGTGTAGCAGGCAAAAGTTAAGCCAGAACAACCTGCAATGCTTTAAAAAAAAGAAAACTTGTTTAATGTGAAAAAGTTTCTACTTCAATAAAAAAATTTTGAAATATTTTCTTTTTTTCGATTATTTCTAACTTGGCTATTTTTTGCATAGTCTTCCTCACAATGGTTGGTATTTTTATGATAATACAGTCATTACCTTATTCTTGGTATTTTTTAAACCTGTCTTAAAAACCCTAATTATTTTCTCTTTGCGACTTTTTGCTGTAATTCTTTTTACTCAAACTATCTAGAGTTCTGCAGTCAATCAACTATTACTGCTAGTAAATTGTAAATAAGTAAAATAAAAAGCTATGCTGACTGTGATGATAAAAACTTATGCGTAGCCAACAAAAAATTTTCATTCCAGGTTAACTATATGGATCTAAAATGAATGAGTATTACGAATCCAAATCTGTTTTGAACGTCAGAATTTCTCAAATTTTTTGACATTCTGGCGTATTATATGCCAATAATAACAATATAACGATATATAGCGAGAGTGATTGTACTCTAGTGGAAAATTACAAAAAATGTAGATGAAATCATGAATGCATACGAGGTCTGTTGAAAAAATAAGGTGAATTTCCATTTTTTTTAAAAAATATTTATTCATTTATCAATTTTTATTTTGTCCCCTTCGAAAAAGTCCCCCTCAGATATAATACACTTGTGCCAGCATTTTTTCCGAACCTCGAAGCAGTTCTTATATGTACTTTCTGGTTTGACCTTGAGGTCTCTCAGCGATTCGGTTTGTATCGTCGCAAGATGCCGTCTTTACATGAACCTCTTTAATCTTGGTAACCGGAAAAAATCGTGGGGGCCTAAATGTGGTGAATGCGG